GGGGGGGGGGGGGGGGGCGCGCGCGGCCGAAGGAGGCGGTCTCATCACCGCGGGCCAGAAAGCCGGCAAGCACACCACTCTCTCACCAGCGCGTAGCGGAGCAAGGGCAACAGAGAGGGGCCGCGATCATCCCACAGTGCCGTGAGACCAACGAACAGTGAGGGACCAAGGGGGGGTTGGCACTGCTCGTGGTTGCGGCAGCAGTCGTGGGGCCGGCCCGGCCAGGACGGAACCTCTCTCGTGCTCGGGGCGGGGGCGGACTAGCCCCCCCCTTCATGCCTCCCCCGCCCGGTCCTCTCCCTCCCCCCCCCCCCATCCTCCTGGCTCATCCGCCAGCCGGAAGCGGGTTGGAAGGAGGAGGGGGCGCAGGGAAAACCCTCGGGCTTCGAGAAACTTCTGCAGACCCGGGACAATGTGGGATACTCGACGACAAGGGCTTCTGGAATCTTCGGGACCATGGTTCTCGCGCTGATCATGTGGCGGTGGCGCGACGGTCAGAGGAGCGATCTTTCTTTTCATCATGCGATCTGGTCTTTCTGTTGGGGATGTCGGATCGCGCTCCGATCGGCCCGGGAGGCAGGGGAGGCAGTGGGGGGGGGGGGGGGGGGGACGCCGGGCAAGGGAAGGCCTCTTCGTGAGGAAGGAAACACACAAGGGAGAGGGACCGGAGTGGGAGATCCCCTCCCGGATGGGTGGCTCTCCATTCCCCCAGCCCTCGTACCCTCCCCCCCTTCCTGCGCCCCTCTGCCCATTCCCTCTCCTCGGGGGGTTTCTCCTCTGCACTTTGCCTCCCGGGCCTCCCGTGGGTCCTCCTCCCCCATCATTGTGATGGCCTCGCTTCGGGATGGGTTTTCCCCGGGCTTCCTTTCGCATCAGGGCATGGACATCTCGTCCCTTGGATATGACCCAGCTTTTGCATCCTCACGCTCCAGTGTGACATGCGAGTTTCCGGCCACAACCATTCACCGTACGCCTCCCTTCGCTCCGGGGAACCTGCATTCTCTTTCGGCATGCACACATGTGCACACGCACCCATGCATGCGTGTTCACATCTTCACCGGGCTTCATGCGATTGACACTGGCCAACATAGATCTCGTTCGAATCGTCGCCTGTATGGGGAAGTTCTCGGAGGATATTGCCCTCATTTGCTTTTCCAATCGCGTGCGTAGCATCAGGCCTGAATGATGTTCCCTCGTCGGCATCTGTCTTTCTCTCTATCTCTCTCCCTCTCCCTCCCTCCCTCCGTCCTACTCACCGTTCTTTGGGGCCATGCAGTTTGATCTCATGTCCTTCAGTTCTTCCTCCTCGGTTCAGATGACATCGCGTCTGCAGCCAGCCTTGTTCACACGTTTCGAGACTGGCGCGGCCCTGCCTCTGGATGATGATGTCTCCTCCCTCTTCTATGGGGGTGGGCCGTCACCCAACTCCAATTGGGGATCCCTGGTGCGTGTTGGCGGCCCCGGAAGCTCCACCTTCAGGCACAAACGAAGCGGCCGGATCATCGTCGACCATGAGCCGGTTACCTTCTTGGCCAGTCTCTCTGCGCAAACCTTCCAGTCTATATTTCATCATCGGGCCACGCGGCGAGTGGAAAAGTGCAAAATGCGCTTTGATCTGAGTCTTTCCATGTGCGACGTGGTTTTCTATTGCAAAACCGGCATTGTCAAACATTATCGCTTCAATTGGCGAGATCCCTTCGAGGTGCGCTGTCATCCTTCTCGTGTCTGGTCTATTCATGCTCGGCAGGCAGGGCCCCTGGCGCTCGAGCCTGCGCATGGGCCTCCGCCCTGGCGCTGTGCTGACAGGCACGCACCACCACACACGCGCAATATCCAGGTTCCCACCTACAAGCCAAGCTCGGAGCATGGGGATGCCCTCATCTCGGCCAAGTTCCTTGACCATTGCCTGGCGGACATTCCCCCGGCCACAAAATTGGTGGCACTCCAGTTCCATGTTCCCACTCAGTCGGTGGCCATTCAGACGGTCACGCCGCCACACATTGCCACCGGCACCGGAAGTGGGGCTTCACAGAGGTCCTTCAACCCCCGGGGACCCTCCGACAATGGGGGAAGCTCACTGATGGTCAATCGAGGCGCGTCAAGTCCGCGGCCGGTGGCCATGAGCAGCCGATTGGAATTCACCGTCGAGGATTTCCACCTTCTTCGGCCACCGTGCTCCTGCCAAGTGGTGTTTGCCTTTCCGGAATTCCGTGTACGTGATGCCTTGTGTCATCTTTGGCGGCTCTCGGCTGTGACACTTCCTTCGCTCCATCCCTCCCAGCGTTGCGACCACTCAAGGTCCCCCCCCCCCTGCTCACTCGCCCTCCCCCCCCCCCCACACACACACACACACATCCATACGCATATGCGTAGGCTTTCCTCACATTCATTGCCGGCAGTTATAAGTATCTCCGGGTGCGCATGCATCCAAGCATGTCGCTGCATTTTGAAACGGCCCATGACGGACCTCAGGCGGATGTTCCGCAAAATAGCCTTGTGTTGGCGGTTGATCCGAACCCCGAGCAGTATGATATCCCCTGGCCCGGAGGGGCCGGTGCCGGTGGTCGTACTTCCGAAATGAGCCCCCCCTTTGGTGGGGGAGTGCCGAGAGTTGCTCAAGCAGCTGACCCGTTCGATCTTCCAGCCATCGCTGGATCTTTGTCTGATCCCTTTGTCCCGAGGGCGCCAACGACCCCGGCCCCCAGCCGGCCGCTTGTCCTCCAGCAGCCAATTGTTTGCCCTGAAAGCGACTCCGAGGCTGGTGATGGCGGAAGTACGGACGAGGCAATGGGCGACCCGGTGGATGGTGGCTACTTGTCCGGACCGTTGTCCATCCGCGATCCGGACCTCTCTGACTGGGACTTTAGCAGCGGGTCCGACTCGGACTTCTAGACGGGTTTCTTTTTTCCTCGAAATGCAAACGGATGGCAGACCAATACACTAGACAATGCGAGGACAGCGACCATTCCATATTGCCTGGACATGCCAGTCTGCGTGAATTACCCATGAGGATGAACAACCAAGGAACGTTGCGCGGAAAACAAGCTCACATAAGGCGGAGTTTCGACGAGCCCCCTCACACGCGCGCACAGAGAGAGAGAGAGAGAGAATACGATATTTTGTATGGGACTTTTATTGAAGTGGAAAAAAGGACTGCACACACAAGACGAAGGGAGCAGGGCGCACAAGGAATGAAGGAGAGAAGGAGAAGAGGGCAGAATGACGAAGGATTCCCCCTACAATAGAGGGAGGAGGGAGGGGGGCAGACGGGGGGGAGAGGAAGGAGATCGCAGCGAGAAAGAGACAGAATTCCAAGCATTGGGGTCGTCTCTCGCTTTCGCACATCTCTCCCCCCCCTGTGAGCGGCGGCGCTCCTCGCCCGACACTATGGCACCCGACGAAATAGCTGCCCAGACCTTCGCCCCCTCCCGAAAGGAGGAGAGAAGAGACGAAGAGCACGGGGCCTTTCCTTGGATCGGCCCCGCATTCGAACTCCCGACCGCCTAATAGGAAGAGAGGGGAGAGAGAGAGAGAGAGAGAGAGAGAGAGAACGGGATGCAGGTCGAATGCGCTTAAGCATACTGGGCCTGGTACTCGGCGAAGGTCTCGTCAAGCTCCTGGGCGGAGAGACCGAAGTCCTCGAGGGTGTAGGTGTTGCGACCGTGCTTGCCCTGGGGGTTGTCGTTGATGAAGCTCCGAAGGGCGTTCTCAAAGGCCGGGGTGAAGTCCATGTCGAAGTGGTCGTAGATGCGCTTGACCATGGCAACCGGGTCCTTGACGAGCTCGGGGTAGCGGCAGTCGAAGGGCTTGGTGCCGGTGTGGAACTTGCGGAAGCGCTCGACACCCTCGATCATCTTCTGGGAGGCGATGACAGCGTAGCGACCGGCGATGCGGCGGTCGACGGTGGCATCCTCGAAGAACTGCCAGGCCTGGACCTCGATGAGCTTGGCGAAGGACGGGACCACGGAGTGGACATTGCGGTGGGTGATGACAATGCGGGCATCGGGGAACTGCTTCATGAGATCCTCCATGTACAGGGAGTGGAAGGGGGACTTGAGCACCCAGTGGGAGTCCGGGGCCCAGGACCACTGCATCATCTGGATGAAGCGCTTGGTGTAGATGTAGGCATACTCCTTGTGGGTGCAGTCGACGAAGGTGTTGAAGAACTCGTCACCGGCGGCCAGGAGGTAGAACTCCAGGACCAGCTGGTGGAACATGATCATGAGCTCCTCATCGACGATGAAGGCGCGGGCGGGGTGGGACTTGCTCATCTCGGCGACGGAGCCCGGAGCCAGGCTGTCCAGGGTCTTGAGGCGATCCTCGGTCATCTTGATGCGGGGGTCGGTGGCGAATCCCTCCTTGGTGGTGGGAGGAGTGGGGTTGTGGAACTGGATCATCTCGAAGAAATAGGGAGACCGGGAGGCCGGGTCGCGAGACATCAGCCCCTGGAGGAGGGTGGAGCCGGTGCGGGGGAGACCGACAATGATGATCGGGCGATCGATCTTGACGTCGACGATCTCCGGGTGCTCATCGACGAACTTCATGACATTGAACCGGGCATTGAGGCACCGGGTCAGGGCCGAGCGGACCATGATCCGACCGATGGCCGAGATGTTGGGGTTGGCCTCGACACCGCGGGTGAAGATGCGCAGGCTGCGATGGCAGTCGTCCTGAGGGCCGAAGTGCTTGGAGGGGGCGGAATCGATCAGGTCGTGGTAGTGCCTGAGTGTATGTGTGTGTGTGTGTGTGTGTGTGTGTGTGCGTGCACGCGTATGTGAGTATAAAGGCGGGGGGGGAGGAACAAGGATGGGTGCGGGCCGAAGGGCCAATGGGTGCGGGAGGGTCTTTGCAAGTGTGTGTCCGGGTGTGCCGAGGGCAACAGCAGCAGCAGCAGCAAGACGGCCAAACGTCATGAAGGGGCACGCACTGGATGTTGATGGCACCAGGGCGCAGGCCGAGGCGGTACATGGCACGGTAGATCATGGCCAGGACGCGGAAGTGGGGGCGGTAGTTCGGGCCACGAGGGAAGTGGTTGCTGCCGAAGTTCTTCTTGCCCGGAGACTGGCCGAAGACACCGACGAAGACGGCGAGGCCGGCGAGCGCAGAGGCTATGATGTAGAGCATTGTTTATCGGAGGGGGTGGACTGGGGAGGCGGAGGGGAAGGAGGGAAGAGTGGGAATGGCCGGAGGGAGGGGCGGGAGTGTCAGACGGGATCAGAGGGGAACGGCGAGCCGAAGGGCGACAGAGGGGGTGCCGAGGACGTGGCAAGAGTAAAAATGATCGTTATGGTGGATGTGCGGCAACTGATGGCGAGGCAAACATACAGGACCACACACACACACACACGCACACACGCTCGGGGGAATACGTGCGGGAAGCCGAAGGGCGAGAGGGCGAGGGGGGGAGGGGGGAGGACTGCGGTCTCGATCGACGAGGCCAACAGAGGAAAGGGGGGACAGGCAGGAACGGCAGGCGCTTCTGTCTGAGAGGGGGGGTGGAAGAGGGCTGGACCGGTCCAGCGGACGGCGGGGCAGTCCCCTTTCTGGCAGCCGGTTGCCTCGGAGGGTGGCAGGTAGGAGAGACTGGGTTGAACCGAGCACAGGCCGCGCTCCAACCTGGCCCCTGCCCCCAGACGAAAACACCCACCCGCCTATACGTCCCTACACCCACCCATACACCGGCCCCCCCCCC